TATTCAGTTTTAGTTAACATGATGAAGCAAATCTCATTCCTTTAAAAAAAAAAAAATTGATCCAGTGTATTCAGGCTTTCTCTTTTGATTCTAATCCGCCTCTGTTTTTCCAAAGGATCAACATTTAGCCAGGGCTAGTTCTGCCTCCTATTGGTCTCCTGGCCTCAGCTGGGGATTGAGCAGAGCTTGTGGCCCTGTGTATGCATCTGTGAAATGAGGCCCTTTAATCCCTGCCCAGCCCTGCCCCCTGCTAGCTGCTGTGCCCTGTGCATGGGAAAACATTCCTGGAAATTCATTTTATGCTCAGAAGCTCTGCAAACACAAGGAGGCTAGGCTTTTACTGGTGAGGGCCAAATATCTGAAGGCTGAAACATTTGAGTGAATTCAGGGTTTCTAAACAAGAGTGTATCCAAGAGTTGGCCTGGGATGACTTTGCCTATGGTCAGCGGAGATGGCTTTAGGTGAGATGCAAAGAAATTTACCTGTCCTGAGAAAAGTTTGGCTCAGCTCCAGAGCACCTCTCAGAGGCTTGGCCAGTCGGGAGCTGCCTCCTGTCCCACCTGTAGCAATGAAGAAATAAGCTAGCAGGACAGAGAAAGTTCCCTCACCAGTCCGTGAAAAGGCTCCAAAAGTTATCGGCCGTCACAGACTCTATTTACCTGTTGATAAAGATCAAAGGCTGCAGTCCAAAACTTTGTTAATTTCCATGTATATTACTTTGGGGGTCTTTGTATTCCTATAATAGGAAGCTTCAAAACAAGCAGAAGATTTACCAAAAGGCCCTTGTACTTGATTTGCAGACAGAAGGGGGCCAGGGAAACGCTGTGGAGACTAAAGGAGAAAGAGAGGCCGATCTGGAATGGTGGAAACCAGGCCCTTGACAGAGGAGTCAAGGGATGGTGGGGCCACAGCCAGGGCCCCCAGGGGAATTCATTACTGCCTAGCGCCACTGATCAGGCTCTTCTGTCATTTCCCAAGTGGCCTTGCTCCCACCCTTGGAGAAGCAACATCCAGTTTGGCTGCAGTTCCCCTGCTGCCCTGGGGATGATCAGGACTGAGCCCCAGAGGAGGCTCCTGTTATCCCAGGCAGCCCGACCTGGTGGAGACAGGCATGGTGGGGGAGGTGAGGGCAGCCAAGGGCACAGTGGGGCTCCCAAAGGCCTCTTGGAGGGAGGCCTCCTCATGTGTACTTTGGCTAGTAAGGGGAGGGAGGGCTGAAGGGCACTTTTGCTTTATTGGCCACCCCTTGATTCTGAAGACTGAGTATTTAAGGAAGTGAGGAAGCATCTCACTCTGGAGATGCCCTGGAGGTGGGGGCACCAGTGGGCCACTTCTGTCCTGGGCACCGCTTGCAGCCAGGTGTTTCACTAAGTTGGAGAGAGGTTGGATGGCCAGGTTTGCTTTTAGGCACTGGGACTCACTGGGATATCTGCATTGCAGGAAATTGCAGTTGCTATTTTTACCATTTCGTCCAGGACTTTTTAGTGGAAGGTGCAATTACATGCAAAATTTCAGGGTTTGCTTGGCCAACTTAGCCCTCGGAGCCGGCCATGGGCCAAGGCAGGTCCCCCTACAGAGTGGTCACTTGGTGTGTAAAGCAAGATATCTTTGCATATGGACTCACAGCTACCCTTGTTGCTGGACGGCATCCTCAGCAGTTTCCAGTGCCCGCAGTTTCTTCTAGGCCCAAAAGAGGACTTTGCTGGGGTTGGCCTAGATAATTGCCCATGAACACCTCATAATTGGCTGCACATGCAACGGTGAGGCCAGCCTGGTGAAGCCATGTTGTTCCTAACAGTCCAGGAAGTTAGAACTTTATTACATGAAATTATTGAGAACCCATGCTACCCACTGTGCTAAATGCCAGAGCTAAATAAGACAGCCTCCGCTCTCAAACCTCACACAGCCAGCAATTGAAGAATGCAGAACACTTCACGTTTTCCCAGAACCTTTTAGATGAGCACCTAATATGCTTTTAATACATATACATTATGGCTAGAGGCCAAGTGGACCTGCACAGTAGTCCCCCATTATCTGCACTTGGACTTTCATGGTTTTAGTTATCTGGGGTGAACTGCAGTATGATACTATTAAATGGAAAATTCCAAAAATAAACAATAACTTTTAAATAATTTTTGTTACAATATATCTTACAATAGTTCTATTTTATTGGTTGTTATTGACTTCTTTCTGTGCCTTATTTTAAATTGAACTTTTATCGTATGTTGTGTATATAGAGAAGAACATAGTATCTCTAGTGTTTCGTTCTCTTTAAGGTTCTGGGCACCTGTTGGAGGTCGTGGGATATGTCCTCCAAGGAGAACGGGGGCTTTGTATTAGTTTCTATGGCAACATGGCAAGTCACCACAAGTTTAGCAGCTTAAACATATTTATTAGTGCATGGTTCTGCAGGCTGGGAGTCTGGGTTAGCTCAACTAGGTTTTCTGCTTCAAGTTTCACAAAGTCCACAATGAAGGTGTCGGGTGGATGGGGTCTCCTCCTGAGCTCTGGGGAGATCCTGTGTCAGATCTTTCTGGTTGTTGGCAGAACTGTGTTCTGGGTAGTCTTAGGGCTGAGTTCCCTCCATGCCACCTGCCCTTGCCATCTTCAGCCCTGCAGAGGGGCTTCAAATCCTGTTCTGCTTCAAAAACCTGACTTCCAGTCTGTGACCAACAGGAGAAAATTGCTTTTAAAGGGCTCATGGACTAGGTCACACTCACACAAATAGTCCCCCTCTCTTGGTAACATCATTAATGTTATGTAATTAATGATTGGTAACATCATTAATTACATCTGTAGCAAAGATTCATTTCATTTGCAAGTCCCTTTGCTGTATGGAGCAACATGTTCAACGGAATAAGACCCCAGGTGGAGATCAGGAGTCATCTAGGAGTTCTGCTGGCAGGATACATCAGCCACACCAGCATTAATAACAGCAGCTCTCATGAATTGAGTGAACTTTATGTTGCCCCCTTGTGCTTAACTCTTGGTGTCTTGTCTCTCAAATAATTTTTAGGACGGTACCTTGAGCTAGGTGTAGTTACAAAAGCCCCTGTTATACTTGGAGGACATATCCCACGACCTCCAACAGGTGCCCAGAACCTTAAAGAGAACTAAACACTAGAGATACTATGTTCTTCCCTATACACACAACATATGATAAAAGTTCAATTTAAAAATAAGGCACAGATGGGCTGGGATTGTGACTCAGTGGTAGAGCGCTCGCCTAGTGCACGGGACCAGGGTTCGATTCTCAGCACCACATAAAAATAAAGGCATTGTGTTGTGTTCATCTACAAAAAGATTCCTTCTCTCTCTAAAAAAATAAGGCACAGAAAGAAATCAACAATAACTAATAAAATAGAACTATTATAAGATATATTGTAACAAAAGTTATTTAAAACTTATTGTTTATTTATTCTATCTTTTTTCCAGATGAGAAAACTGAGACTCAGACTATAAGTAACACAGGCTGTTTTTACAGGTGCCAGCATTTGAAACCAGAGACACTTCATAGCTAGCCATTCTGCTAGGCTAGTTAGGATTAGTATCTCCAATTTGCTTTGTGTGATTTATGGACTACTATCCAGAACAGGGTTGAGGGTGGCTCTTCCCCATCTAGCATTTAAAATGTTTACATATGAAACATGTCAATCATACTTCAAATGGCAGACACTGGGGACCTTTTACGTGGGTTTAACAGATCTCTGGATCATTTTCATTTTTTACTCCAGTAAATGTTGTGGTTAATCCACTTTCCATTCCACTGAATTTATTGAGCATCTGATGTGTCAATCTAATGTGAACATCTAATATGACATAGAATATGTCCTCGAGGAGTTGCAAATATAGATAGGGACACAATACACAGCAACATGAAAAACTGAAGAATGCTGACCAGTAGTAGGAGAAATGTGACAGTACTGCATGCAGCAAAGAAACAGAGGGAGTTAGAATGGTAATTCCAGGAGAGAAGACAGGGATGCTTTATTTTTTACCACATCCTTGGCACTTGTAGGCCTGGCATATTGAAGGTACCTAGAAATTAATCATTGCATTAATTTTTTTGAGCATCTGCTATGTACAAGGCCCTGAACTGATGAACAAATGTGAAGACCAGAGTGTGTGACCTGATAAGGATTATGGAGGAAGAGGGGCTAGGGTGGGCAGTGGAGCTGGAACAGGGGCAACAGATTGAATGAGGTTCAGATGCCAAGCCTCCTATCAGGCTTTTGAGCAGGAGAGTAGTCAACAAGTAACCATCTGGTACTGCATTGGTGGAAGTGGGGAGACGTGGGGACAGTGGGCTAACCCAGTCTGCAGCAATAAAGGTAGGACCAGAAAAGAAGGCCTAATGCGCAGATCCATCATGGAAGGTTTAATGGAACTTGGTGGCTCAGCGATATGTTAAAAGTGTACATGGGCAAGTGGCTATTTATGGACACCCATGTATTTGCTATAAATATACATACATATGTAATTTCAAGAGACCTAGAATCATCAACTGCAATGCCTGAGCTCAGCAGCCCATGCATGGTGTACTTTTGCTGCCCAAGGCCCTGCCCTCTGCAAACCACCAAGTACTGTTGTTTTGGAGGAGATCAAGGTGGTCCATAGCAGAAGAAGCCTTCTGCTAGTGAAGGGAGGAGCAGAGCAGGGCAAGTGTTTTAGAAGGTGATGGCCACCTGTGGGTTAGAAGGTGCTGGATCCCCTGGCAGCTGGCTAGTGGTAGTACAAACTGGGGGAGGGGGAAATGGAGGACTCCATACAGGCCCCCACACTTTTACAGAAGTTTCTTGCTCTACGTTCTTAAAAGAAGGCATGATTAATGTGGAGATTAAGAAAGTTCTGCCATGCAGCGTCCTCAAAGTGAGATTGAGGGTTCACAGGTCAAAACTATTTTCACAGTAATTCTAAGATGATGCTTGCCTTGTTCACTCATTTTCTTCTGGGTGCATAACTCTGTACCAGTGTTTTCCAAATGACCCATGCACTGTGTTACAAAATCATGCCTGGGTAAACCATCCATTCAAAGTGTAGGCCAGGCCAGTGGAGGAGAATGTCAGAGTACAAAAGTTCATAGACAGAGGCTCAGATTCCACATTGCAACAAGCCTTAAAGAAGCTACCACATGTCAGGTCTTAGTGTAGTATATCACAGAAGTGTGTCCACAGTGATCCAAAAAGACTCTTAAAATCTTCTGCCTTGTCCAGCCACAGGAGACTGGGCTTCATAGCCTGTAATCAAACCAACTCAGCAGGTCAAGTACAAAAGCAGGTAGGAGAATCCAGCTACTATTGTCAATAGTTTTTTTTTTTTTAAGATTAATTTATGAAAAATAACTCTTATTTATGCTAAGATGTTATCATTTGAATCTGGAATGTCCCCCAAATGTGTTGACGGCTTGGTCCCCAGTGGATTATTGGAAGGTAGTGGAAATTTACCCACTAAAGGTAAAGAAGGACCTAGTGGAAGAGGTGGGTCACTGGGGGCATGCCTTCAAGGTGGATATTTTGTCTCCAGACACTGCCCTTCTTCCTGGCCACCATGGGATGAGCAGCTTTCCCCCACCACATGCTCCCTGCCTATTTCTTGCCACAGGCCCAGAAACAGCAGAGCCAACTAACCATAAACTGAAACCATGAGCCCAAATCTTTCCTTCTTTAAGTTGTTTTTCTCAGGTATTATGTCATGGCCATGGACAGCTGTCTAAAACAACATATAATGGGTCGATCCTTTCTTCCTTCTAGGGGTGGAACCATGGGTCTGTGCATGCTAGGTAAGGGCGCTACCTGATCACCCCCCCAGCCCTATTTTTATTTTTTAATTAACATATACATTTTTCTCAGTTTTAATTTTGAATATGGTAAATCTCAATAGACAAAACCACATAAACAAAAGCACCTGGGGGTCCTCAATCATTTTTACATTATAAAGAGATCCTAGATTAAGCAATCTAAGAGTGACTTTGTTCCCGTAAGTGCCTGCAAAGCTGGCACCAGGCGTCAGGCTCTGTGTTGAGTTGTGTATATCCAGTTCCCCTATTTAGTTGTTCAGCAGTCCTTTGTGGTTGGTGTAGTTTTCACGTCCATTTTACAGATGAGAAAACTGAAGCCCTGAGACTGTCAATGTGGGGCCCAGGTCTCAGCACGGAAGTGGGAGTGCTGGGACGCAGGGGGTCCCAGATTGACATAGCCTTGAGCGCTGACTCCAGCTAAACTATAGATGTGTGCAGGTTACTTACCTTCTGGGACCCTGAGCTTGCACGTCTGTACTATGGGGCCAGTGATGCCTTGCAAAGAGGTTGAGAGGACCCAGTGAAAGTACCTGTAAGGTTCCCGGGCACAGAGGCTCTGCCCTCCTCATGGGGAGAGGAGGAGCTGTACCATTCTCACCAGCACAGCTAGGGAGGAACAGAGCTTCTGGAGACGGGAGGAGCTCTACTGCTAACAACTGCTGGTGCTTGACTCTTGTTTTTTCCCTGCTCTCTGATTTGTTCGTTTTTCTCCAGGCGGCTTGTTGAAAGTGATAGTGATATCTAGGTCAGCATGCTTTTAACAGTTCCATCTGTGGACTAGACAGCAGGAGGGAGCGCCTGTTTGCAGAGGGCCGGGTAGTTCTGATGAGGAGGGAGGAACCCCTTGGGATGCTGTGTTTGCTTTGAAGGGAGCTCTGCTCACATCCCTCTCTTTCTTTCTGGCTTGCTCTGGTTACGCTGTTTCACCAGGTGGGAGAGCCCGAGTGTTGAGTTCTTGACTAGAGCAGTGGTGTCCCTTTTATTGGCTCTGCTCTTGCCTAGACCCATAGCTGGGCTGGCAGATGATTCCCAGCTCTGGGGGACGGGGACAATCAGTCCAGCAGCCCTGCTGAGCTGATGGGAGTGGGATGTGACCTGGAGAGGTTGGATGGCACCTGCCATGCACCTGATGGACAGGGAGGGGCCTGTACCTCCCTCCCTGGATGGGAGAAGCCTTTGTTGGAGGGCTTTAAGCGTGGCTTGGCACAGCCTACCTGGGAAGCGGAACTTTTAGGACAGTGTGGCATCAAATCTCCATCATTCTCCAAAGAATTTTTCTCAAGAGAAAACAGTAATTCAGCCAAAGCAAAGATGTTATTTGGGGATAAAAATTCAAAAAATTATGGGTGAATAGATAATAAATTATGGTTCTTATATATTTTAGAGACATTAAAGTTTATAGTTGACAACCACAGACGTGTAGGCGCCAGGAGATTCCTGTGGCTCCTCAGCATGTGCCCACAGTAGGCCTTCAGACAGTCTTTGTGAAGTAGTGAATGTAGGATAGAAAATGGCAATTATGTGAAAAGCTAAGGTAAAAACAGTGTAACACAGTATCTATCATTGCAACAATTTTTAAATGTATTTATTCATTTTATGTGATGCTGGGGATGGAACCCAGAGCCTCATGCATGCTGAGCAGTATACCCTCTGCTGAGCCATGCGCCCAGCCCAATTGCAACAATTTAGAACTGTTTATTTGTGGATAAAAGCTGACAATAAGAAACCAAAATGGAAAGAGTTCTTCTGTTTGCAATGTTTCTCGGACTTCTATTGTTAGCACCCTACACCCCAAAATCTTTTTCAACCTTTTTTTCTAAATTCGTCCACCCCCATTAAATTTTAATACCCTTGTAGACCTGTGTGTCTCTCAGTGTACTGTGTGTATCTGCTTTGTACATAAAAATAAGACTGTTATCTTTCTCGTTACTGTTGTGTTGCATTTTTCAGTAAAAGACAACAGATTGAGCTCCTGAGTTCATCTTGGCCTCCTTCCTTGGTCTGCAGAGCTGTCTGAGCAGAAGGGCACTGGCCATTGTGACTGTATCTGCCCTGGGCTGGGTGTGTGGCCCACTCAGTTGCTCCCGTGGGAGGGCTCTGCTGTCTTCTCTCCTAGCCAGACAGCTTTTCTAAAAAAGATATGTTGATGAGGAACTGGCCAAATCCATATGGTGCCTTGAGTAGCAAGGCAAGCCCTGGGAGAGGTTAGGCTCCTTCCCTAAGATGGCCTTTCTCTCTTGGGGTCTGAACACAGAACACAAAATGACCTGAGATTCTGCATCCCACTGGACCCATTGTTGCTCAGGAGAGAAATGAATTCTTTTTTTTTTTTTTTTTAATTATTTTTGCAGTGTTGGGCATTGGACTCAGGTGCTCATGCATGCTAGGCAAGTGCTCTACCACTGAGCTATATCTCCAGCCTATGAGACATGAATTCTTACCTGCAGTGGATGTCTTGGGGTACAGGCCTTGATTTGCCTGAAGATCTTGCTGTACTGATTGTGCCGAGGCTGGTGAGAGGCTGCTCCTTGGGGTAGATAGAGAGGACATTATCCTGGTGCCAGAAGCTGGTGGTAAACTTCTGTGGGCCTTCTTCTTTGTCCCCCTCTGGTAGAGGGGAAAGAATGAATCGGATATGAATTCAGATGCCACCCCTTCCCCAGTTTTGTGACATTGGGCTGTATAATGCTGTTGTTGGAACAGACTTGAACCAGAATCCTGGGCTCTGCCCACCACTCCCCAGGGGGTTTGGGGCAAGTTTCCTAATGTCTCTCTGTCCAGTTTCCTAACCTGTAAAGTGCAGGTTCAACTGCACCTAAGGCTTTGGTAGGGATTAGATTAGTCACCACACAGAGCTCTTCATTATCATTAACCTCTGAGTTGTTGTTTTTTATCTGTGAATTGCAGAAATAGTAGGGTATATAGTAGGATTGCACTTCGTGGCTCTTTTGCGGGCCAGTGAAGTTGTGTGACTGGTTTTGGCAAGTGAGTTGTGAGCAGAAGGAGTGTGTATCCTTCCAGGCCAGGCATTTAATCAGTGCTATGCTTTCCAGAGCCCTCCTTTCTCTCTTTGGCACAGTGATTGGTGACGTGGTAGCAGCTCTGTCATCTGGTTTCCTGAAAGTGACAGGAATAAGGTGAGAGTGACAGTGATGAGGTAAATGCTTACTACAACCACAAAACGTGGTATTGAGCAAGAAATAAATCTCTGTCCTGTGAAGCCACTACACAGTCTGGGGGTTGTTTGTTGCTGCCGTGTAACCTTACTTATTCTGACTAAAACAGTCATGACCATATTGTACTTGGTTGTCAGGATTAAGTCTGATAATGTAAAATGCTCAGTGTGAAATTAAGTACATGGCAGTCATGACTTGACTCCCTGCCTGACCAGAATCCCTCCTGACCTACTGATTCTTGCAGCAAGTGTTGCTTCATCTTTCAGCAGGTTCCACAGGCCTTGACCTCTCACCTCCAGCTCTATACTGCCTTTGGCAAGACAGAGCTGCTGCCCCGAGTCAGGCCCAGCACAGTGAACCTTCCTCAGGGAAGACATCAAACTCAATAATGTCCATCAACCTGTAATAATAGCTCCGACTCCCTGACCACCATGGCTGCAGTCAGCCAGGGACGTGACCATCGATCACAGGAGCTTTGGTGGCTGGCCTCCACCAGTGTGCTTCACGTTGGCTGCGTCCAGTGAGGAGCTGCAGTGGCGCTGCACTGAAATGCATGCTGTCCTCGCCCCTTTTCCAGCCCAGGCTGTCGGCAGTGGGGGCTGCGTGCAGGTCCTGGGATTCCTTGTCTGCCCAGGCCCTGTGTGTTGGGAGGTGCAGGTGTGAGCGGGCCATGACACTGTTGAGCTGGTCCTCAGACAGCAGGTGAAGACAAGGTTGTTCTCATGCTGGGACCTGGTGAGGGTGTGATTCTGCTCTGTTAGGGGAAGCTCGGGGGTGGTGGCCTGCCATCCTGCCTTTCACAGGGAGATGTTTGATGCAGGGACATCTGGGGTCCCCGTGAAGAGGAAGCCCATTGTTACACTGTATAGTGATGGTCTCTCTATTCCAGATCCTCTAGACCCACTCTGCGTTCTAGCACAGCCCTGGACAGACGGCTGGGGGCCCCGGGCAGGGCCATCTGACCACTGGGCCGACTGACTGAACTTCTTCCTGTAATAAAAAAAGCTCAAAACCAAAATAAATAAATGCACATACAGTGGAATACATAAATAGTTCTGATCAGCTGCATCTTAAAAACAAAAACAAAAAATCCCAGGGTGTGCACAGATTTGGTGTGTTTGGCTTGGGCGCTGGGGGTGGAGCCCAGGGCCTGGGGCCTGCTAAGCACAAGAGTCCCCATGGACTTCCAGCCCCTGCGGCTTTTTGAACGGATGTGTGTGTGTAAAGGGTTTTGTAATTGTTTGGCTTTTTTGAAGGCCTTTGAAAGGCAGAAACATCTGGGGAAAGGACTCATGGTCTGATCA